CCTCTACGAGCTACTTCCATTTTTTATTACAAGCTCAAGAAGAATTTTCTATAGTATGGATGCATCTTTTTTGTTCAATTTAGGTTAAAACCCCAACGATAATATATGATGATAGAGCAGGAATAAGCACATTCCTTTGATTCCGTCACAATTAATAATATTATGCAAATCGGCCCGTTTTCCACTTCCTCCTCAAAGAAGAGGAAGTACTTGGAGAAAAAGATTACTTCCAAGAAAAATGGAAAGAGATAAACACCAAAGAATAATATTTCCAAAAAAAATATGGAAGAATATCTTGAAGAAGCGGACCTCCTCTCCATATAAATAGAAGACCCCTCATTTCTTGAAGACCATCCACAAATATCATCATTCATCCAGAAATATTCAGAAAACCCTAGTTATAATTCGTTTTTGTTCTTAGTTTCTTTACTTCTTTTTGTATTATCACCCCTTGTTCCATCTTTATCTTTGGTTGATCTAATAAAGAGACTCTCCTAATTCCACATCTCTTATCTTACTATTACTCATGTGATTTTGAGATCTAACATATGATTAATGATTTTTGTTTTAAAATGCTTTTAAATCAACAATGTATGTAATTTATCTTAACATTAAAACCAAAAAAAAAGACAATGTAATTGGCCAAAGGTGTGGAATGCTCATGTACATTATATATTGTGAAATTGCGAGTACAAAATCTAGAGGAAGTCAAACTGTTGAGATAAACACTATTGAAGTGACTATAAGAATAAAGTCGCATATCTCTCTAAAAACTGCTCCGCCATTAGGCTCTTACTTCCCATGAACGCTCTGTAGAGGTCCATCGTTGAGATTGCCTCTGAGTCTCGTCTGACCATACTACTTGTGGGCTGTCGCCAAATCAAAACTCGTCAAACTACACTAAAGACAATGTTTATTACAACCCAAAAGATAGTAAAATTATACACGAAACTAAAACTGAACCCAAACCAAACTTTTAAGGGTTATGATAAAAAAAATTACGTAATATACCAAAGTATAGAAAATTCGGCCAAAGTACCAACCTTAATTTGTCTTAAAGTTTATGTTTTCTAGAGGTAAAAAGTGAGCTGTTAAGCGAGAAAGTAAGAGTATTAATAAAAAAATATATACAAGTAATACAGCCTGTCCAACTTCGGGTCCCTTATTTTTTCGTGAGATCAACAGTAGTCTTTCAGTGTAGTAAATCCTGGTATTATTGTGTTTACCAAAAAAAAAAAAATCTTGGTATTATTGTAAGCTAAAATAAAACTTTTTTTTTTTAGTAATTGAACTCAAAACCTATGCCTTCTTCATGTTTTCATATAGTGCAAATTTCTGTTTGTGTTAGGTTACATGAACTTGCTCAGTTGCTTGGAATCTTGGCTGCAACACTCGATACTAGAAGAAAAGAGACACAGTGAGTAGCTTGTCAAATACCACATGTACTTAACTCACCAAATGTTATATCATCATCAACATGAGAGGATAACAAAATTAGAACAAGTAGAGAAATCACATGATTTTATAGAGAACTGGTTATAACTTTTTCTTTCAGTGCTTGGAGGCACATGATGACGATGCGTAGGATTCGGACTAAAAGTTTGTGGTTCTTGCAGGGGCGGAGCTAGTAATTAAGGATACTAGGGATTAAAGCCCCGCGCAAGCGCGGGGTTGTTCGAGATAATGTTTCTGTTTGATTTTATTTATATTCATTGATTTGAAATTTTGAATTATGATGGTTATATGTTAACTTTCATGTTTTGGTTATATTTTGAGTTAACACAACAATTAACACTAACAATATGATCAATTTTTTTATTAAGATATTAACACATTTCTTCATCTCGAGTTTTCTATTTCTAAAATTTAATATGCATTTGACTCAACGTTAAAATTTGTAAACATGATGTAGATTCGAAATTGCACTCAAAATATGATGAAAAAGATAAACATGTATAAGTTCTTACATATATGCTTTATTGTGATAGCATGTGAGAATTGATTATTTTCTATTATGTTAGTTTTGTAGATATAAATTGTATTTTTGAAACAAACATATCACCATTCTTAAAATTTTCATGCTTTTCGTTGCAATGAAATTTAAATAATAACTCAAATTCTATTTTCTAATAAAACAAACTCTAACTCTAATTTTTATTAGCTTTTTACTATGTTAAATAATTTATAATGTACCTTTTTTACTTGTAAGTACATTATAATATTTTTAAATAGGATAAATCATTTGAATTAAAACTTAACTATTATATGCTATTTCAAGTTAAATATTTATTTATTTAATCTCCATTTTATATTAGAACTTTTTTTAAAACTTTTAACATCAAAATATCACATACTTTATATTAATCAATTAAATTGTTTCTGTATTTTTATTAGTTTTGTTTATGTGTAAAGCAGGAATATATATAAATAAATATTAATACACATATATTAAATATCTTAAATACAATTAATGATTTTTTTGCTGATGTGGATGGCCTAGAAGGAGAGAGCAACTCTCCTATTATATATAAGATTGGGTGGTTAGCTGACCCCCACTAATTTTTTTTCTTTCTCTTATTACTTTAATCAAAAATTTAATGACTCTGTTTTAAATTAATAATTGACTCCTTTAAAATATCTATACTATATAAAAGTCTGAGAGCATCCACATCAGCTTTTAAAAAACCAATTAAATTTCGCCAAATAAGCATTTTAATTTCAAAATCGAAAATTAAATATTTTTTTGAGAAAAATTACAATTATTGTATCAAGGAATGGAAATTGTACTATTTTGAATTTTAATACTTACATTATTTAACTTCTATACTACATAAAAGTTGAGGCTATAAGCCTCTGAGAGCGTCCACATCAGCTTTTAAAAAACCAATTAAATTTCGCCAAATCAGCATTTTAATTTTAAAATCGAAAGTTAAATAATTTTTTGAGAAAAATTATAATTATTGTATTAAAGAATGGAAATTGTACTATTTTAATTTTAATACTTACATTATTTCCCTTAACCTATTATTTAAAATAGTTAATAGAAATTTAACATAAAAAATAGTTAAACTAACAAAAATAACATATTATTAGAAAAGCTAAACTAACTAATTAAAATAAAAAGGAAATAAACAATTTTACTATTTCAATGTTTGGCATTGGCTATAAATAGTCCTCTAAACTTTAGAATACACATACAAGAGTTCTAAAGACAACCACATTCTTCTTCTTCTTGAGAGAGAGAGAGAGAGAGAGAGAGAGAGTATTTAAATAGCTATGTCTTCTTCCAGCTCTTCTGTTTCTGATCAGTTACGGCATCCTTTTGTTTTCGATGAACTCACTAAACGATTTTGTAAGAAAGAGCTGCTTGCTAGAGTCATCCACTTATGGGAGGCAAGGAATACTAAAAAAGAAGGTCTGCTTATGGGATATGAACTGCTTCTAATCGATCAAAAGGTAACAACACCAATATTATTTACCAATTACCAATAGAAAGTAAAATCATCATCAACTTATATACTCTTTTCTACCATAATTTAATATAGGGAACTAAAATTCAAGCATTCATACCGACTAATCGACTAGGAGACTATGAGGAAAAACTAAAGGCTGGTGAAGTTAACAAGTTTTATAGCTTTCTGGTCATCAACAACAAAAAAGACGGGCGAAGTCTACAACATTGGTAGTTTTTTGGTCATCATCAACAAAACGAGCTACAAGTTCTCCTCACACAGATTTCTCATCCAATTCATTTCGGAAACAACAATGGTGCAAGCAGACTATGATGACTACACTATTGAGGGTCAAAACTCGGAGTAGATGGAACCCCTATGGACAGTACGAGCTACCAATGCTCCACCAAGGCCAAGGGAGCCACACACACTTCGATGAAGAAGAGGAAGAAGAGGAGCCGCAAGCTCGATCGAGTGAGCGGAACCCAGTTGCGATGGAGTGCCCTGATGGCCGTCTCCCATCTCCAGACCACGACCTTGCTCCCAGTTCTTTGGGGGGCACTGAGGTATCCAAACACCAACCCTTGTACATACCATTTCATATTTTCTTGCATTTGTTTTTGTTTTTCTTGGTTTTGCCCTCTTGAATCTTTCACTAAATTTTTCTCACACAAGGGACTGTGTGATTTAAGTTTGGGGGAGGGTTCAAGAGATGATTTAACCTTGTTTTCTTTGTTCTTAGTTTTTCATTCTCTTTTGCATAGAAAAACCAAAAAAATCATAAAATTTTCAAAAAATCCAAAAATATTTTCATCTTTTTGCATTCATATTTGTTAGACTTGTTTAGGATTGCATTTTTCACTTGCATTGTTGATTTGACTTTGAAAACTTGTCCATCTTTTGCGATTTCTTGAGTGCCCTGTTTTTAGATTCTTTTGTGCATTAGGGTGAGATTGATTGAGCAGCAAGAACCATGTTTATCTTGATCATATCACTGCATGCACATCTCATTCAACCATTGCTGTGATTTGATGCATTTCCCTATCTATTTGAACCATAACTTGATCTTTAATTACCAATGCTTGCATTTGATTTCAACTCATGGCTACCACATACATATCTGGACATTCTTTACATTTTCATATCCCTTTGCTTGTCCAGATAGCTGATCTCTATCTTTGAGACAGTTACCACACCTTAAACCTAAGCCTTTTCATTTCAAACCCCTATTATCTCTTGTGCGAATGTGAGAACCTTTCTTGGCTTTGCTTAGCATAAGGTGTTGTGTTTAAACCGGCAGGGGCAGTAGTTCTAGTTGTCTAGTTCTCTTGGGATTGTTTTCAGGCTAAGTTTGGGGGTGCCAACTCGAGCTCGATCGAGTTGGGTGTAAAAACCAGAAAAGTGGTAAAAGTTGGGAAAATCCAAAGGAAAAAGAGTTTAGTTAAGTCCAGGGAGTTGGCAGTGTTAAAAAGGGTCTAGTAAAGGTTTGGGAAGTTAAAAAAGGAAGTAAAAAGGGTTCTAAGTAGAAATGAAAAGAAGGCAAAGCCTCAAGTGTCAAAAAGAAAGAAAAGTTCCCTAAGTGTTTAGAAAATCCCAAACCGCTAGATGTTACCTCAAGAAGCCTCTCCCTAGGAAGTTCTTAAAAGAAAAGTGAGCAAAGCTCCTCAGTTTCAAAGGCGAAATGCCAAAAAGGGTAGTTAGGATTTTGTTCTAAAAAGCTCTAAGTGTTGAACTCGATCGAGTTAGGATTAGGCGGCTCGAGCTGCTGTTCTTGCATCATCTTTGGTTCTAACACTTAGCCTTCTGCCAAAGCAAAGCCACTTTCTTGAGAGATCCCTGTTACTAAACCACCATACAAAAGAGACCCTCTTTGTCTCTTAACCCATAAACCCTTGAAACCAAATGAGTTGATTGATCTTGCATGTTTTTGGTTCACTGTTTTTGCTTAATGAATGTTAAAGGGATTTGCTGATTTGAATGCATTGTTTGAGTGACTGTGAAGTGGGATTGATGTTGATAAGCATGGTTAAATCTTAATGAATATCTCTCACCTTGTTGCATTCTAGAATCTCTAAGTTGGACATTTAGCAAATCGCTTTTGAGGACATGTTTTTAAGTGTTGAATCAGCTTTTTCAAACCTCATCTCTTTCTTGTTCTATTTGTTTGCTTGAGGGCAAGCAAAGTTCAAGTTTGGGGGTGTTGATGTACTTGCATTTTACATAGTTTTAGCACATCTTTTATGCATCTTTTGCATAGTTTTAGCATCCATTTGCATCATATCTTGTTCCTTTTCTCTTCTTATGCATTCATGTAGTTTTAGGTTGCATTTGCATACATATGCATGTTTGGTCCTTTGAAATAGGTCTTTTGGAGCATTCTGGAGCATATGGGACGTGAGGAGCATGGAGGGACTTGGCACATGGACGCAGCTCAACTGGATACGCAAAGGAAGAAGGGAGAAGCCATCTTGAAGACCAGCTCGACCATCTACTCGACCAACCGGTCGAGTTCCTCAACTCGACCGGCCAAGCTTCAACTCGATCGAGCTGAGAAGTCAAAGTCAAACCCGAAAAATGTTGCTTCCCCCTTGACTTTCCTTTGACCCTAAACCTAATCCTCTTGTATTTAAAGGCTCTAAGCCACGAAAAAACCACCAAGCTTTAGATTACTTTTGTTTTAGTTTCTTTTAATTTATTGTCTTTTACTTTTTGAGATCTAATCCCATCTTTGTGTTCTTGAAGCTCTTGCTTCTTGAATCCTAGATCCTGGATAATCTCTTTTGTATTTGCACTTGCTTATTTCAATAAAAGTTGTTTAATTTCATCTCCTCTTTCTTATGATGTCTCTTTTATTGCATTTGCTTGTGTTTACATTCATGTGTAGTGAGTAGTTACCCATTAGGGTTTGAGATGGGATAGATTAGAGGTTTCATATGCTTAATCCTTCTAGCTTATGGTCTTAATCTAGATTCTCTCTCTTTTGGATAGATCTTAAGGCTACATGACCACTACCCCTGGCTTGTAAGTCCTTAGGCGATTCTCCACACGGAAGTGATGGCATTCGCTGGAAAAGATCCACTAAGAGCTCCAATATCTCTTGCTCTAGAAATGAGGTCTAAGGGGTTGGATGGATTAGTTTGGGCAATGATCCTATGCCTCCAAGGTTTGATTCTCACTGGCTAATGATGATAGGATTTGTGTGTGGATGTGAAAAGATATGAAATGAGATGTGTGGAATGCAATCAGTGGTATATGATGAGGTGGTAAGATGCAAACACAAACACAGTCAACAATTCCCTTTAACCATGATAGTTGATGTAGTACAAAGGGTTATCAATCCAAAATGGGAAACTTGTCACTCTTTGAGAATATGAAACAACCAGAAAGTCAAGCAAGCAGTTAAAGATTTGAAGTAACACTAACAACCTAAATAAAATGAAAAGCAGTGCAATAAAAGTAAACAAAGCAGTGAAGTACAGCTCGACCAAGACTCGAGTCGAGTCAGAACAAAGTACCAGCTCGATCGAGTTTAGGGACGAGTTGAGACAAACAAAGCTAAAGGTGACGACTTTAACAAGATAAAGAGAGAATTAGGGTTCAAGACAGGGTTTTGCAATCAAAGGAATCTACACTTAATCAATCTAGCTCTTAAAACTCCTTGTATCAAGGCTTCTCTTGATATTGGGCTTCTCAATGCCTAGCCAACCCTTTCCCAAGGTGAAGGCTATCAACCAAGGAATGATCTCAGAAACAGGGGGTTAGCCAGTGAGAATCAAACCTTGGAGGCTATAGGATCATTGCCCAAACTAATCCATCCAACCCCTTAGACCTCTATTGTCTAGAGCAAGAGATATTGGAGCTCTTAGTGGATCTTTTCCAGCGAATGCCATCACTTTCGTGTGGGGAGTCGCCTAAGGACTTACAAGCCAGGGGTAGTGGTCATGTAGCCTTAAGATCTATCCAAAAGAGAGAGAATCTAGATTAAGACCATAAGCTAGAAGGATTAAGCATATGAAACCTCTAATCTATCCCATCTCAAACCCCAATGGGTAACTACTCACTACACATGAATGTAAACACAAGCAAATGCAATAAAAGAGACATCATAAGAAAGAGGAGATGAAATTAAACAACTTTTATTGAAATAAGCAAGTGCAAATACAAAGAGATTATCCAGGATCTAGGATTCAAGAAGCAAGAGCTTCAAGAACACAAAGATGGGATTAGATCTCTAAAAAGTAAAAGACAATAAATTAAAAGAAACTAAAACAAAATAATCTAAAGCTTGGTGGTTTTTTCGTGGCTTAGAGCCTTTAAATACAAGAGGATTAGGTTTAGGGTCAAAGGAAAGTCAAGGGGGAAGCAACATTTTTCGGGTTTGACTGTTGACTTCTCAGCTCGATCGAGTTGAAGCTTGGCCGGTCGAGTTGAGGAACTCGACCGGTTGGTCGAGTAGACGGTCGAGCTGGTCTTCAAGATGGCTTCTCCCTTCTTCCTTTGCGTATCCAGTTGAGCTGCTTCCATGTGCCAAGTCCCTCCATGCTCCTCATGTCCCATATGCTCCAGAATGCTCCAAAAGACCTATTTCAAAGGACCAAACATGCATATGTATGCAAATGCAACCTAAAACTAACATGAATGCATAAGAAGAGAAAAGGAACAAGATATGATGCAAATGGAAGCTAAAACTATGCAAAAGATGCATAAAAGATGTGCTAAAACTATGTAAAATGCAAGTACATCAACACCCCCAAACTTGAACTTTGCTTGCCCTCAAGCAAACAAATAGAACAAGAAAGAGATGAGGTTTGAAAATAGCTGATTCAACACTTAAAAACATGTCCTCAAAAGCGATTTGCTAAATGTCCAACTTAGAGATTCTAGAATGCAACAAGGTGAGAGATATTCATTAAGATTTAACCATGCTTATCAACATCAATCCCACTTCACAGTCACTCAAACAATGCATTCAAATCAGCAAATCCCTTTAACATTCATTAAGCAAAAACAGTGAACCAAAAACATGCAAGATCAATCAACTCATTTGGTTTCAAGGGTTTATGGGTTAAGAGACAAAGAGGGTCTCTTTTGTATGGTGGTTTAGTAACAGGGATCTCTCAAGAAAGTGGCTTTGCTTTGGCAGAAGGCTAAGTGTTAGAACCAAAGATGATGCAAGAACAGCAGCTCGAGCCGCCTAATCCTAACTCGATCGAGTTCAACACTTAGAGCTTTTTAGAACAAAATCCTAACTACCCTTTTTGGCATTTCGCCTTTGAAACTGAGGAGCTTTGCTCACTTTTCTTTTAAGAACTTCCTAGGGAGAGGCTTCTTGAGGTAACATCTAGCGGTTTGGGATTTTCTAAACACTTAGGGAACTTTTCTTTCCTTTTTGGACACTTGAGGCTTTGCCTTCTTTTCATTCTACTTAGAACCCTTTTTACTTCCTTTTTTAACTTCCCAAACCTTTACTAGACCCTTTTTAACACTGCCAACTCCCTGGACTTAAACTCTTTTTCCTTTGGGTTTTTCCCAACTTTTACCACTTTTCTGGTTTTTACACCCAACTCGATCGAGCTCGAGTTGGCACCCCCAAACTTAGCCTGAAAACAATCCCAAGAGAACTAGACAACTAGAACTACTGCCCCTGCCGGTTTAAACACAACACCTTATGCTAAGCAAAGCCAAGAAAGGTTCTCACATTCGCACAAGAGATAATATGGGGTTTGAAATGAAAAGGCTTAGGTTTAAGGTGTGGTAACTGTCTCAAAGATAGAGATCAGCTATCTGGACAAGCAAAGGGATATGAAAATGGTAAAGAATGTCCAGATATGTATGTGGTAGCCATGAGTTGAAATCAAATGCAAGCATTGGTAATTAAAGATCAAGTTATGGTTCAAATAGATAGGGAAATGCATCAAATCACAGCAATGGTTGAATGAGATGTGCATGCAGTGATATGATCAAGATAAACATGGTTCTTGCTGCTCAATCAATCTCACCCTAATGCACAAAAGAATCTAAAAACAGGGCACTCAAGAAATCGCAAAAGATGGACAAGTTTTCAAAGTCAAATCAACAATGCAAGTGAAAAATGCAATCCTAAACAAGTCAAATATGAATGCAAAAAGATGAAAATATGGTTTTTCTATGCAAAAGATGAAAAACTAAGAACAAAGAAAACAAGGTTAAATCATCTCTTGAACCCTCCCCCAAACTTAAATCACACAGTCCCTTGTGTGAGAAAAATTTAGTGAAAGATTCAAGAGGGCAAAACCAAGAAAAAACAAGAACAAATGCAAGAAAATATGAAATGGTATATACAAGGGTTGGTGTTTGGATACCTCAGTGCCCCCCAAAGAACTGGGAGGCTAGGTCGTGGTCTGGAGATGGGAGACGGCCATCAGGAGCACTCCACTGCAACTGGGTTGCCTCGGCTCACTCGATCGAGCTTGCGGCTCCTCTTCCTCCTCTTCTTCATCGTTCAAAGTGTGTGGCTCCCTTGGCCTTGGTGGAGCTGGCTTGCTCGAAGCTGTTGTAGGGGTCCAGTTGGTCTGGGAGAAGTCCTGGTACTGCGTTGATCGTACTCGAATCCGGATCTCAAACAGGGGCTCCTCCAGGTCAACTCGACCCTCAGCTCGATCGAGTTGAGTTTCCTCTGTTTGGACTCGATCGAGTCCGGTGGTCGAGCTGGAGCGTCTGGCCTTGGAAGTCTTCCTCCTTCTCTGCGTGTTGTCTTCTCCTTCCCTTGGCTCGAAAGAAGAGGCTCTGTGAGGCTCTTGGGCAGGGAGCCTCCTTGGAGTGGTGAGGAGTGACTACTCCTAGGGAATGTGGGGGCCTTGGACTTCTTCTTCTTGCTTGAAGAACCAGAAACCTTCTTCTCCAAACTTTTGATCTTGCTCACCATCTTGTCCATGGACTTTTGCATCTTCTCAATGGCTTTCCCTTGCCATTTGTTGAACTTTTGGAGAAGTCCAATCCTCTTGTGGCAGCCACAACAGAGGGGTTCATCCTTGGAGCCTCATACTCCTCAAAGTAATAGCACTCAGGCTCACCCAAATCCGCACTCTCCTGGCCTGATCTTCAGCTGACTCAGCTCGATCCTCAGCTCGATCAGCTCGATCGAGCTCAGGCTCCTCTTCTCTTGCAAATCGCTTCATGCCCAACAAAGTGTACACAGGGGGTCTGAAGTCAATGTTCTCACCTCCTAGACCGTGGTGAGCTCAGGGTTGGGCAGGAGAAGCTTGGAGGGTCCAGCCAATGGGTGGGTGAACTTGAATTGGAACCTCCCATCCAACTCCTTGTGCTCAATGAGGAGGTTGGTCTTGCAAAACTTGATGTCCATCCAACCTGGTGGAGTAGACCTTCTCTTGTCAGTTGAACTCCAGCTGCACAAAGATAGGTGTGATCACCCCTCCAACACTAAGCTTTCTTCCTCTTTGGTGCCTAGTGTTGTAAGCTGTGACTTGTAGGTGGAGCTGCTCAAGGAGAGGCATGAGTTCCCTGCGTGTGCCCTGTCTCCTCTGATCTTCTTCCCATCCTTGTGCGTGAGATGATGGGCTTGATTCCCATGTCAAGGAGCTTCACTTCTCCCTCATTGATTGTCCAGTGCCTTTCCTTGCAAAGAAGGTGTTGGCAAGTGCCTTGTGCACATATCTAAGCACAGGACTTCTGATCTGGCAGCCTTGGACCTTGAGGAAGAGTACCCCTCTTCAGCGATTGTAGCCCAAACTCTTTGGAGTTCTTCTTCCTTGATGTTCCATAGGTTACCTTCTCCATAGTGAACCCAAACAGATCTCAAGCTGCCTAAAGGTCACCATCTTCTTCTCTCCCTTGCCAAGAAGTGTATCCCCCAATCCTTGGTCCAACTCAGCTCGATCGAGCTCATCAAACTGTGACCTCATTGAGCCAAAAACTCACAAGTGAGCTCCTTGTAAGACTCCATGCGGTGAGAGAAGAACTTCCAATTGCATGTTCTTGAGCACCAACTCCACATCCTCAAAGATCCAAGGGCCTCTCATGTGTCATCATGTGGGTACTTGGTCTCCACAAAGTCCATGGAGAAGAGAGCATTGTAGTGCTCTTGGTACATGGGGAGCTCATCCTCCTCTTGCTCTGCCTCAGCCTCTTCCATTGGCTCATCTTGGTTCCCCTCTTGTCATCTTCATCAACCAATTGGTTCACCTCTTCTCCTTCCTCTTCACTCTCAGTCTCATCACTTCCTTCTTCATTGGAGAGCCATTTCCCTCCTCTTGAACAAGGTTCACTCCAATCTCAAACTCCCCTTGCTCACTCTCACTACTAATGGGTCATTCCTCTTCTTGGTTCTCCTTTCTTCCCTCAATCTCTCACTCTCAGACTGTTCCTCAGAGTAGACATATCCCTCTGCATCAGATTCTTCCATCCTCTGATCCATCCTCTCCAAATCGGCTTGCATCTTAAGCCTTCTTTCCCTTGCATTGCTTGATTCACCCTCAACCATTCTCCTCTGTGAAGCGCGGCTTCCCTCACTGTTTGTCATCCTTGTTACTCTGTTTCTTCACTAAAGTACCTGAAATGCATCAAAGATTACAAAGAATTAGAGTTGTAATGATCGGTTTGGTCAACTCGACACTCAGCTCGATCGAGTCAAAAAACTCGAGTGACAAACTCGATCGAGTTGGGTGAAAACAGAGTATAACCAAACCTAATTCAAGTATTAAGAGCTGGAAAGGATGCTAATCAATCAAATTGAACCAAGAACAACTAGTAAATGGAACAATGAGCAATTCTAGTGAGAAACTAAGCATCTTAACCAATACCAAACTCAAATTCAATTTCAAGCACATGCAACAAGTTTAAAGGCAAAACAGAGGTGAGGTGAAACAAACTAACAAGATTATACAGCAGAGGCGAAATATGAGCAATTACTCAAGAACAAGTCCACAAGGGACACATGCAATCAAAAATCAAAGAGAAACAAGCAATATGAAATCGAGATGGATGAATCAAGGGTTTAGGGTTCATACCTTGTTGAATGATGAATTGAAGACAGTAAACTAAAACCCAAGCAAAACAATGAAGAACAAGAGAAATCGCAAAAACTTAAGAGAGAAAGAGGAAATTCGAAATTTCTTGTGGTGAAGAGAGAGAGGATGAGTTTCAGAAATTTTAAGTGTGGGAGAGAGAGAGAGTGGATTCGATCGAGTTATGGGGAAGAGGGGTGTTTGAGATGTGTGGTTGAGATTAAAAGATGAAATAAAGAGGGAACAAGAAGCTAGGGATTCTCTGATCAATTAGGGTAGTGGGGGACCAAAATCAGCTTGTGGGACCCACTCCCTTGACCAAGAAAACGGTTATGAATTTGAAATTCAAAAACTTACCTCGGTCGAGTTGTGTAGCTCGATCGAGTTGCCCTGGTTTCTAGCTCGATCGAGCTATCGGTCGAGCTGGCTCCTTGACACCTAAACTTAACTTATTCAAAGGTTAAAAACATAAAGATAGATAGAAATTGCATAAATAGAGTATGTACAAGGATAAACATGGGACTTCCTCCCAAGTGAGCTTGTTTAAGGTCCCATAGCTTGACCTTTACCTTCTTAGGCATTGGTTGAGCTAGTCCCACCATCAAGGGTGATAGTGAGGACTTGAGACAGAAGCTCCTTTAGCTTGGTTGGGTCCCTGGACTGTTCTGAAGTCACCAAGGCCTTGGCTCTAGAGAATGGCCTTGATCTCCCCTTGTACCTTATCTTGTACTCAATCTTCCCATTTTCAAACTTGGTGGGGAACAAAGTCATTGTGAGCTGAGATGGCTTGATGAAGGGGCCTGAGCTGGTGGATCTTTTCTTTTATCCCCTGGTCTTGCCTTAGAGGCTACATCCTCCCCTTCTTTTAGAGCCCTTCCTAGTGGCTCATCAAACAAAGCTTGAAGGCTCTCTTCATCAAGCACACAAGGGGCTTGAACAAGTCTCTCAGCTCTTGGCCTATCAGATCGTGGTTTCTCAACTCTAGCCCTCTCAAGACGTGGCTTCTCAATCCTTGGTCCTCTCTCATCCTTATCCTTCCCAACTCTTGGTTCCTTGTCAACCCTTTCCTTCACAACCTTTGTAGCTCCATGACTCTTAGAACTGAGAGTGGTACTGTCAATTGTGGCACAAAAGTCTGAACCTCTAGGCTGCAAGCGATATGACACCAAACTATTCACCTTGTGAAGGATCACTTCTTGCTTGTGAAAGTCTATTGAAGCGCCAACTGTACTAAGGAAAGGGGTTCCCAATAACAGAGGCAAATCCTTCTCTTCTTCCATTTCCATCACAGTGAGATCAGTTTGGATGATGCATTCTCCAATTTTCAAGTGATAGTTCTTGAACACTCCAAGAGGAGACTTAGAAGTTGCATCTCCAAACATGATTGAAGTAGTAGGGCGCTGCAAGGCTCCAGCAATGCCTAGCTTCTCTGCCATGGAGAGAGAGATCAGATTGATGCTTGCTCCAGAATCCACTAAGGCATTGTCAATCTCAAGATGCCCAAGTGTGCAAGGGAGAGTGAATTTCCCTTGATCCTTGACCTTTGGTAGGAAGGTGGGTGAAGTAAGCAGGTTGAACTGATGAGTAGACTCTTGTAGGACCTCTGAAACTTTATCACTGTTGGCTAGAACATCCTTGACCATTTGCATTTGATCAAATGCCTCACTCATGCTATCCATAGGAGGCAACTCAATTCCAATCCCACTGAGATCTCTTCTGAACTTGTGAATCACTTCCTTGTGACCTTGACTAAGTAGGCGAGACGAGGAAGCGGCAACCGGTTGGTAAGGATCAAGCAAAAATGGTTTTCGGACAGAAGAGGTCGGACTCGATCGAGCTAGAGTTGGACTCGATCGAGCTGCCGATCGAGCTTGTCGTGCGAGCTCAACTGGTGAAGTGTGAATGGCCACAGTAGGTGCCTGCACTTCTGGTTGATCAATCTAAACCCTGAACAAGGTTGATCATCCCAACTTGATCTCAAAGTTGTGGTTCTGCACTGGTGGTGGAACAATTCCTTGTCTCTGTTGGTGGCGGTCTAGGAGATGCTCCAAACCGCCACCAACAGAGACAAGGAATTGTTCCACCACCAGTGCAGAACCACAACTTTGAGATCAAGCTGGGAATGATCAACCTTGTCCAGAACAAGATGTTCCATGGATTGCCAAGTGAAGACCCCATTGACCACCTTGATGAGTTTGATAGGCTTTGTGATTTGACAAAGATCAATGGTGTCTCTGAAGATGCCATCAAGCTGAGACTCTTTCCTATGTCTCTAGCTGACAAAGCTCACCAATGGGAGAAGAGCTTGCCCCATGGCACAATCACCACTTGGGATGAATGCAAGAAGGCCTTTCTTGCTAAATTTTTCTCCACCGGTCGCACAGCCAAGCTTAGGAGCGAGATATCGAGCTTCATCCAGCGAAACAATGAGACATTCGCTGAGGCTTGGGAGAGGTTCAAAAGCTACACAAGTCAGTGCCCACAGCATGGATTCAACAATGAATCACTATCTCCACTCTTTATAGAGGATGCTTGCCTAGGTATAGGGAGATGCTAGACACAGCAAGCAATGGCAACTTTCCTAAACCAGGATGTAGATGATGGCTGGCAACTTGTGGAGAACATAGCTAACTCAAATGGAAGTTATGGAGAAGAGTATGATCGCACCAATCGGAGCTCGACCCACCACTCGATCGAGTCAGACAAAAAGTTGAGAAAAGATGTTAAGGCATTGAATGAGAAGTTGGATAAGCTGATCAACCCACCAACCGCCCCAGCCTGCACCTTCACAAGAGAATGAGCTCAAAGCAATGCTAAAGCAACTACTTCAAGGGCAAGCTGATGGTAGTGGACACAAGCAAGAAGCTAGCTGAAATAAACTCCAAGATCGAGAATCTCAACACAAGGGTTTACTCTCTGGAGAATCATGCTTCTTCTGTTGCTGCTGCTACAAAGCAAGGACAACTACCTGGTAAAGCTATTCAGAACCCCAAGGAACAGTGCAAGGTCATCTTCACTCAAGAAGGACTTGTTGAAGAAGAGGATCAAGAAAGGGTCATTGAAGATTTTTGTTTACTGCTGAATGATGAAGAGATTGTTGCTGCTGAGGCTCCTGGAGTCCAGATTGATCAACCAGAAGTGCATGCACCTACTGTGGCCATTCACACTTCACCAGTTGAGCTCGCACGACAAGCTCGATCGGCAGCTCGATCGAGTCCAACTCTAGCTCGATCGAGTCCGACCTCTTCTGTCCGACAGCCTGTTTTGCTTGATCCTTACAACCGGTTGCCGCTTCCTCGTCTCGCCTACTTAGTCAAGGTCACAAGGAAGTGATTCACAAGTTCAGAAGAGATCTCAGTGGGATTGGAATTGAGTTGCCTCCTATGGATAGCATGAGTGAGGCATTTGATCAAATGCAAATGGTCAAGGATGTTATGGCCAACAGTGATAAAGTTTCAGAGGTCCTACAAGAGTCTACTCATCAGTTCAACCTGCTTACTTCACCCACTTTCCTACCAAAGGTCAAGGATCAAGGGAAATTCACTCTCCCTTGCACACTTGGGCATCTTGAGATTGACAATGCCTTAGTGGATTCTGGAGCAAGCATCAATCTGATCTCTCTCTCCATGGCAGAGAAGCTAGGCATAGCTGGAGCCTTGCAGCGCCCTACTACTTCAATCATCTTTGGAGATGCAACTTCTAAGTCTCCTCTTGGAGTGTTCAAGAACTATCACTTGAAAATTGGAGAATGCATCATCCAAACTGATCTCACTGTGATGGAAATGGAAGAAGAGAAGGATTGCCTCTGTTATTGGGAACCCCTTCCTTAGTACAGTTGGCGCTTCAATAGACTTTCACAAGCAAGAAGTGATCCTTCACAAGGTGAATAGTTTGGTGTCATATCGCTTGCAGCCTAGAGGTTCAGACTTTTGTGCCACAATTGACAGTACCACTCTCAGTTCTAAGAGTCATGGAGCTACAAAGGTTGTGAAGGAAAGGGTTGACAAAGAACCAAGAGTTGGGAAGGATAAGGTTGAGAGAGGACCAAGGATTGAGAAGCCACGTCTTGAGAGGGCTAGAGTTGAGAAACCACGATCTGATAGACCAAGAGCTGATCGACTTGTTCAAGCCCCTTGTGTGCTTGATGAAGAAAGCCTTCAAGCTTTGTTTGATGAGCCACTAGGAAGGGCTCTAAAGAAGGGGAGGATGCAGCCTCTAAGGCAAGACCAGGTGATAAAAGAAAGGATCCACCAGCTCAGGCCCCTTCAGTCAAGCCATCTCAGCTCACAATGACTTTGTTCCCCACCAAGTTTGAAAATGGGAAGATTGAGTACAAGATAAGGTACAAGGGGAGATCAAGACCATTCTCTAGAGCCAAGGCCTTGGTGACTTCAGAACAATCCAGGGACCCAACCAAGCTAAAGGAGCTTCTGTCTCAAGTCCTCACTATCACCCTTGATGGTGGGACTAGCTCAACCAATGCCTAAGAAGGTAAAGGTCAAGCTATGGGACCTTAAACAAGCTCACTTGGGAGGAAGTCCCATGTTTATCCTTGTACATATTCTATTTATGCAATTTCTATCTATTTTGTGTCTTTAACCTTTCAATAAGTTAAGTTTAGGTGACAAAGAAGCCAGCTCGACCGAGAGCTCGATCGAGCCAGAAACAAGGAGCAACTCGACCGAGGTAAGTTTTTGAAATTTCAAATTTCTAACCGTTTTCCTTGGTCAAGGGAGTGGGTCCCACAAGTGATTTTGGTCCCCCACTACCCTAATTCGATCAGAAAAACCCTAGCTTTTGTCCCCTCTTTATTTCACTTTTAATCTCAACCACACATCTCAAACACTCCCTCTTCCCCAGAACTCGATCGAACCCACTTATCCACTCTCCCACACTCTAAAATTTCTGAAAATCATCCCTCTCTCTCATCACCACAAGAAAAAATCGAGTTTTCAATCTCTCTTTTAAAGTTTTTGCGATTTTCACTTGTTCTTCTTCCTAAATCGTTTGGGTTCTAGCTTACTGTTCTTAAATTCATCATTCAAGCAAGGTATGAACCCTAAATCCCTTGATTCCTCCATCTCGATTTCCATTATTGCTTGTTTCCTCTTTGATTTTTGATTGCATGTGCCCCTTGTGGGTTGTTTCTTGAGTAATTGCTTTCACATCAATCTCCTGTTTATAGTTCTTGAATTTGCCTCACCTCACCTCTGTTTTGCCATTAGAACTTGTTGCATGTGTTAAAACATTGAATTTGAGTTTGGTATTGGTTAAGATGCTTTGATTCACTAGAATTGCTCATTGTTCCATTTACTTGTTGTTCTTGGTTCAATTTGATTGATTAGCATCCTTTCCAGCTCTTAATATTCTTGAATTAGGTTCGGTTATACTCTGTTTTCACCTTAGCTCGATCGAGTTTGTCACTCGAGTTTTTTGACTCGATCGAGCTGAGTGTCGAGTTGACCAAACCGATCATTACAACTCTAATTCTTTGTAATCTTTGATGCATTTCAGGTACTTTAGTGAAGAAACAGTGTAACAGAGATGACAAACAGTGAGGGAAGTCGCGCTTCACAGAGGAGAATGGTTGAGGGTGAATCAAGCAATGCAAGGGAGAGAAGGCTTAAAATGCAAGCCGATTTAGAGGCAATGACTCAAAGGATGGAAGAGTCTGATGCAGAGGATATGTATACTCTGAGGAAGAGTCTGAGAGTGAGAGATTGAGGGAGAAAGGAGGACCAAGAAGAGGAATGACCCCATTAGTAGTGAGAGTGAGCAAGGGGAGTTTGAGATTGGAGTGAACCTTGTTCAAGAGGAGGGAAATGCTCTCCAAGTGAAGAAGGAAGTGATGAGACTGAGAGTGAAGAGGAAGGAGAAGAGGTGAATCAGTTGGTTTGAAGAAAGTAACCAAGATGAACCTATGGAGGAGGTTGAGCCACAAGAGGAAGAGGAGGAAGAAGAACTCCCTATGTACCAAGAGCATTACAATGCTCTCTTCTCCATGGACTTCATGGATACCAAGTACCCACATGTTGACACAATGAAGGCCCTTGGAATCTTTGAAGATGTGGAGCTAGTTCTCAAGAACATGCACTTGGCCAAGCTCTTCTCTTATCACATGGAATCCTACAAGGAGCTCTGATGTACTTGCATTTTACATAGTTTTAGCACATCTTTTATGCATCATAGTTTTAGCTATTTGCATATCTTGTTCCTTTTCTCTTCTTATGCATTCATGTTAGTTTTAGGTTGCATTTGCATACATATGCATGTTTGGCCTTTGAAATAGGTCTTTTGGAGCATTCTGGAGCATATGGACATAGGAGCATGGAGGGACTTGGCGCATGGAAGCAGCTCAACTGGACACGCAAAGGAAGAAGGGAGAAGCCATCTTGAAGACCAGCTCGACCGTCCACTCGACCAACCGGTCGAGTTCCTCAACTCGACCGGCCAAGCTTCAACTCGATCGAGCTGGGGAGTCAAAGTCAAACCCGAAAAATGTTGCTTCCCCCTTGACTTTCCTTTGACCCTAAACCTAAATCCTCTTGTATTTAAAGGCTCTAAGCCACGAAAAAACAAAGCTTTAGATTATCTTTGTTTTAGCTTTCTTTAATTTTATTGTCTTTACTTTTTAGCAACCCTAATCCCATCTTTGTGTTCTTGAAGCTCTTGCTTCTTGAATCTTAGATCCTGGATTATTTGCACTTCCTTATTTCAATAAAAGTTGTTAATTTCATCTCCTCTTTCTTATGATGTCTATTTCATTGCATTTGCTTGTGTTTACATTCATGTGTAGTGAGTAGTTTCCCATTAGGGTTTGAGATGGGTAGATTAGAGGTTTCATATGCTTAATCCTTCTAGCTTATGGTCTTAATCTAGATTCTCTCTCTTTTGGATAGATCTTAAGGCTACATGACCACTACCCCTGGCTTGTAAGTCCTTAGGCGATCCCCACACGGAAGTGATGGCATTCGCTGGAAAAGATCCACTAAGAGCTCCAATATCTCTTGCTCTAGACAATAGAGGTCTAAGGGGTTGGATGGATTAGTTTGGGCAATGATCCTATGGCCTCCAAGGTTTGATTCTCACTGGCTAACCCCCTGTTTCTGAGATCATTCCTTGGTTGATAGCCTCCACCTTGGGAAAGGGTTGGCTAGGCATTGAGAAGCCCAATATCAAGAGAAGCCTTGATACAAGGAGTTTTAAGAGCTAGATTGATTAAGTGTAGATTCCTTTGTTGCAAAACCCTGTCTTGAACCCTAATTCTCTCTTTATCTTGTTAAAGTCGTCACCTTTACTGTCTTTTCCGCTAACTCGACCCACAACTCGATCGAGCTCGGTGCTCTGTCCCAACTCGACTCGAGTCCTTGGTCGAGCTACTTGTTTACCTGCTTTGTTTACTTTTATTGCACTGCATTTTCATTTCTTAGGTTGTTAGTGTTACTTAAAACCTATAACTGCTTGCTTGACTTTCTGGTTGTTTCATATTCTCATAGAGTGACAAGATTTCCCATTTTGGATTGATAACCTCTTATACTTCAATGACTATGATGGTTAAGAGGAATTGTTGATGTGTTTGTGTTTGCATCTTACCACCTTCATTTACCACTGATTGCATTCCACTCATCATTTCATTCTTTTCACACACAACAAACATCAAGCTCACTTGCGAGTTCTTAGCTTCAATGAGGTACCACATGTATGAGAGAAGATAGAGCTGATTTGGACCAAGGATTGGGATGGATCACGTTCTTGGCTAAGGGAGAGAAGAGAATGGTGACCTTTAGGCAGTTGGAGATCTTGTTTGGGTTCAACTATGGAGAAGGGACAAGTGGAACTTCAAGGAAAGGAACTCCAAAGGTTTGGGCTACAATCGCTGATGGAGTGTACTCTTCCTCAAGGTCTAAGGCGCTCAAATCAGGAGCCCAGTGCTTGAGATATGTGCACAAGGCACTTGCCAACACCTTCTTTGCAAGGAAGGCAACCGGGACATCAATGAGGGGGAACTCAAGCTTCTTGACATGGGAATCAAGCCCATTCTCTCACGCACAAGCGATGGCAAGAGGATCAGGGGAGATAGATCCACACAGGAACTTGATGCCTTCCTTGATCACCTCCTCACCTACAAGACCACGCCTACAACACTCACATCAACGAGAAGGCTAAGTGTTGGAGGGCTCATCACTCCTATCTTGTGTGCTGCTGGAGTGAACCCAACTGATAAGAGAGCCACTGAACCAGGTTGGATGGACATCAAGTTTTGCAAGACCAACCTCTCATTGAGCACAAGGAGTTGATGGGAGGTTCCAATTCAAGTTCACACATCCATTGGCTGGCCCTTCCAAGCTTCTCCTGCCCAACCCAGAGCTCACCACAGTAGTAGGGGTGAGAACATTGACTTCAGACCCCCTTGTACACATTAGTTGGGCATGAGGATGATTTGCGAGAAGAGGAGCCTGAACTCGATCGAGCTGAGTCGAGCTGAGGATCCTGAGGATCGAGCTGAAGTCAGCAGGAGAGTGCGATTTGGGTGAGCCTGAGTGCTATTATTTTGAGGAGTATGAGGCTCCAAGGATGAACCCCTCTGTTGTGGCTGCCCACAAGAGGATTGGACTTCTCCAAAAGTTCAACAAATGGCAAGGGAAAGCCATGGAAAGATGCAAAAGTCCATGGACAAGATGGTGAGCAAGATCAAGAGTTTGGAGAAGAAGGTTTCTGGTTCTTCAAGCAAGAAGAAGAAGTCCAAGGCCCCCACATTCCCTAGGAGTAGATCCTCCTCACCACTCCAAGGAGGCTCCCTGCCCAAGAGCCTCACAGAGCCTCTCATTTGAGCCAAGGGAAGGAGAAGACAACACGCAGAGAAGGAGGAAGAGTTCCAAGGCCAGACGCTCCAGCTCGACCACCGGACTCGATCGAGTCCAAACAGAGGAAACTCAACTCGATCGAGCTGAGGTCGAGTTGACCTGGAGGAGCCCCTGTTTGAGAACCCTGGATTTGTACGATCCAACGCCTTACCAGGACTTCTCCAGAGATGGACCCCTACAACAGTTCGAGCAGCCAGCTCCACCAAGGCCAAGGGAGCCACACACTTCAAGATGAAGAAGAGGAGAAGAGGAGCCGCAAGCTCGATCGAGTGAGCGAGACCCAGTCGAGTGGAGTGCTCCTGATGGCCGTCTCCCATCTCCAGACCACGACCTTGCCTCCCAGTTCTTTGGGGGGCACTGAGGTATCCAAACACCAACCCTTGTATATACCATTTCATATTTTCTTGCATTGTTCTTGTTTTTTCTTGGTTTTGCCCTCTTGAATCTTTCACTAAATTTCTCTCACACAAGGGACTGTGTGATTTAAGTTTGGGGGAGGGTTCAAGAGATGATTTAACCTTGTTTTCTTTGTTCTTAGTTTTTCATTTATCTTTTGCATAGAAAAACCAAAAAAATCATAAAATTTTCAAAAAATCCAAAAATATTTTCATCTTTTTGCATTCATATTTGTTAGATTGTTTAGGATTGCATTTTTCACTTGCATTGTTGATTTGACTTTGAAAACTTGTTCATCATTTGCGATTTCTTGAGTGCCCTGTTTTTAGATTCTTTTGTGCATTAGGGTGAGATTGATTGAGCAGCAAGAACCATGTTTATCTTGATCATATCACTGCATGCACATCTCATTCAACCATTGCTGTGATTTGATGCATTTCCCTATCTATTTGAACCATAACTTGATCTTTAATTACCAATGCTTGCATTTGATTTCAACTCATGGCTACCACATACATATCTGGACATTCTTTACCTTTCATATCCCTTTGCTTGTCCAGATAGCTGATCTCTATCTTTGAGACAGTTACCACACCTTAAACCTAAGCCTTTTCATTTCAAACCCCATATTATCTCTTGTGCGATTGTGAGAACCTTTCTTGGCTTTGCTTAGCATAAGGTGTTGTGTTTAAACCGGCAGGGGCAGTAGTTCTAGTTGTCTAGTTCTCTTGGGATTGTTTTCAGGCTAAGTTTGGGGGTGCCAACTCGAGCTCGATCGAGTTGGGTGTCAAAAACCAGAAAAGTGGTAAAAGTTGGGAAAATCCAAAGGAAAAAGAGTTTAGTTAAGTCCAGGGAGTTGGCAGTGTTTAAAAAGGGTCTAGTAAAGGTTTGGGAAGTTAAAAAAGGAAGTAAAAAGGGTTCTAAGTAGAATGAAAAGAAGGCAAAGCCTCAAGTGTCAAAAAGAAAGAAAAGTTCCCTAAGTGTTTAGAAAATCCCAAACCGCTAGATGTTACCTCAAGAAGCCTCTCCCTAGGAAGTTCTTAAAAGAAAAGTGAGCAAAGCTCCTCAGTTTCAAAGGCGAAATGCCAAAAAGGGTAGTTAGGATTTTGTTCTAAAAAGCTCTAAGTGTTGAACTCGATCGAGTTAGGATTAGACGGCTCGAGCTGCTGTTCTTGCATCATCTTTGGTTCTAACACTTAGCCTTCTGCCAAAGCAAAGCCACTTTCTTGAGAGATCCCTGTTACTAAACCACCATACAAAAGAGACCCTCTTTGTCTCTTAACCCATAAACCCTTGAAACCAAATGAGTTGATTGATCTTGCATGTTTTTGGTTCACTGTTTTTGCTTAATGAATGTTAAAGGGATTTGCTGATTTGAATGCATTGTTTGAGTGACTGTGAAGTGGGATTGATGTTGATAAGCATGGTTAAATCTTAATGAATATCTCTCACCTTGTTGCATTCTAGAATCTCTAAGTTGGACATTTAGCAAATCGCTTTTGAGGACATGTTTTTAAGTGTTGAATCAACTTTTTTCAAACCTCATCTCTTTCTTGTTCTATTTGTTTGCTTGAGGGCAAGCAAAGTCAAGTTTGGGGGTGTTGATGTACTTGCATTTTACATAGTTTTAGCACATCTTTTATGCATCTTTTGCATAGTTTTAGCATCCATTTGCATCATATCTTGTTCCTTTTCTCTTCTTATGCATTCATAGTAGTTTTAGGTTGCATTTGCATACATATGCATGTTTGGTCCTTTGAAATAGGTCTTTTGGAGCATTCTGGAGCATATGGGACATGAGGAGCATGGAGGGACTTGGCACATGGACGCAGCTCAACTGGATACGCAAAGGAAGAAGGAGGAAGCCATCTTGAAGACCAGCTCGACCGTCTACTCGACCAACCGGTCGAGTTCCTCAACTCGACCGGCCAAGCTTCAACTCGATCGAGCTGAGAAGTCAACAGTCAAACCCGAAAAATGTTGCTTCCCCCTTGACTTTCCTTTGACCCTAAACCTAATCCTCTTGTATTTAAAGGCTAAAAGCCACGAAAAAACCACCAAGCTTTAGATTATTTTTTTTTAGTTTCTTTAATTTATTGTCTTTTACTTTTTAGAACCTAATCCCATCTTTGTGTTCTTGAAGCTCTTGCTTCTTGAATCCTTAGATCCTGGATAATCTCTTTGTATTTGCACTTGCTTATTTCAATAAAAGTTGTTTATTTCATCTCCTCTTTCTTATGATGTCTCTTTTATTGCATTTGCTTGTGTTTACATTCATGTGTAGTGAGTAGTTACCCATTAGGGTTTGAGATGGGATAGATTAGAGGTTTCATATGCTTAATCCTTCTAGCTTATGGTCTTAATCTAGATTCTCTCTCTTTTGGATAGATCTTAAGGCTACATGACCACTACCCCTGGCTTGTAAGTCCTTAGGCGACTCCACACGGAAGTGATGGCATCGCTGGAAAAGATCCACTAAGAGCTCCAATATCTCTTGCTCTAGAAATAGAGGTCTAAGGGGTTGGATGGATTAGTTTGGGCAATGATCCTATGGCCTCCAAGGTTGATTCTCACTGGCTAACCCCCTGTTTCTGAGATCATTCCTTGGTTGATAGCCTTTCACCTTGGGAAAGGGTTGGCTAGGCATTGAGAAGCCCAATATCAAGAGAAGCCTTGATACAAGGAGTTTTAAGAGCTAGATTGATTAAGTGTAGATTCCTCTGATTGTAAAACCCTGTCTTGAACCCTAATTCTCTCTTAGCTTGTTAAAGTCGTCACCTTTAGCTTTTTTTCAACTCGACCCTAAACTCGATCGAGCTGGTACTCTGTTCCACTCGACTCGAGTCCTTGGTCGAGCTGCTCTTCACTGCTTTGTTTACTTTTATTGCATTGCATTTCATTTTTTTAGGTTGTTAGTGTTACTTCAAATCTATTACTGCTTGCTTGACTTTCTGGTTGTTTCATATTCTCATAGAGTGACAAGTTTCCCATTTTGGATTGATAACCCTTATACTACATGACTATGATGGTTAAGAGGAATTGATTGATTGTGATTGCACCATTTCATCTTTATTCACCCTGTTTGCATTCCACCTCATATCTTATCATTCATTCATATCATTCACACCCACACACAATCCTATCATCAGTTGCCTGAAGAAATAGTCTATGCAGCTGAGGCAAGCAGCAAGCATGGACAATCTAGCCATCACAGGCCAGGAACAAAGATCTCATCATCAAACACACCATGGTTTCGCCACATAGCAAACTTCCTTGCAGCTGAATACCCACCACCAAACTTCTTTGGCTACAGAAAGAAGAAATTTCTGCGTGATGTAAGAAGGTACTACTGGGATGAACCTTACTTATACAAGAAATGTTCAGATGGAATGTTTAGAAGATGCATACCAGAGGAAGAAGTAGAAGGAATATTGTTTGCTTGTCATAGTTCTAGCTATGCAGGGCACTTTGCCACTTACAAGACAGTATCCAAGGTCTACAAGCTGGATTTTGGTGGCCAACTATGTTTAAGGATGCTCATGCATTCATATCAAGATGTGATGCTTGCCAAAGAATGGGAAATATAAGCAAGAGGAATGAGATGCCGCAGAACTTTATACTAGAAGTTGAAGTTTTTGATGTTTGGGGCATTGACTTTATGGGACCCTTCCCAACCTCTTTTGGTGACCAATACATTCTAGTGGCAGTTGATTATGTCTCCAAATGGGTGGAAGCCATCGCCAGCCCTACTAATGACGCACAAGTGGTCATCAAGATGTTTAAATCCATCATTTTTCCAAGGTTTGGAGTGCCTAGGATAGTCATAAGTGATGGAGGTTCACATTTCATCAACAGAATCTTTGCCAACCTTTTGAAGAAGCATGGAGTCACTCACAAAGTTGCCTCTCCTTACCACCCTCAAACTAGTGGACAAGTTGAGATCTCAAACAGAGAACTCAAGAGCATACTTCAGAAGACAACAGGCAAGACAAGGAAGGATTGGAGTGCCAAACTAGATGATGCTCTATGGGCATATCGCACTGCCTTCAAAACACCACTTGGTACCACCCCCTTTCATCTTGTCTATGGTAAAGCATGTCATTTACCTGTGGAGCTGGAGTACAAAGCAGCTTGGGCTATTAAGGAGTTGAACTTCAACCTAAAGACAGCAGGAGAAAGAAGATTGATTCAGCTGAATGAGCTTGATGAGATTAGGCATCTAGCTTATGAGAATTCAAAGATCTATAAGGAGAGAACCAAAGCTTTCCATGACCGCAAGATCATCCCAAAGAACTTCGCGCCAAACGACCAAGTTCTACTATTCAACTCAAGGTTGAAACTCTTTCCAGGAAAGCTTCGCTCAAGATGGTCAGGACCATTCAGGATTAAAGAAGTTCGCCCCTATGGAGCAGTGGTACTATGGGACCCAATGGGAGGAGACTTTACAGTCAATGGACAAAGGTTAAAACCCTACCTAGCTTCCACCACCATACCACAGGAGACCACACTGGCTCTTGGCGATCCACCAGATCCTTAAGGAAGTGCCATACAGTCAAGCTAATGACTTTAAACAAAGCGCTGAATGGGAGGCAACCCATTGAAGGTCACGGTGCAAGTTAAGTCTGGGGGGAGTTTCTAGTTTTATTGTGTTACTAATGCATTTTTCTTTCTTTTCTTATGTTTTATTCACTTTGTTTCATGTTTTTCAAAAAGTTTTATTGAGTCAAAAACCAGTCCGGAAGTTATGAACTTGCTTTGAGAATTGAGAGTGTTGTGCTAACAATCCATGACCCTAGAGCAGAAACCAGCTAAAGGCACAAGCCTAACAGAAGCTCTTACAGTGGATCGACATGCTAGCTCAGCAAAATTTCTAAGGTAACCAAGCAATCTAGAGTTAACCTCACCCTTAATCAATCTTAATACTCTTGTCAAGGGGGTTGGCATACATGTCGACAGTTCCTTGCTTGATTTTCAATGAGATTTGTCTAATCTTTAAAGAGTTCTCCTCTCTCTCCCATCCCAAATGGTAAGTAATATTTATGAGAAAAAGCTCAAAGAGCACAAGGAAAACAAGTAAGCATGAGGAATGCATATGTCTGTACCTTCATGTCTTATGGAATACCTTAGTCAAACAAGGAACAAGCTAAAGACTTATCCTGTGGTTGAAAGAAGGGTCAATAGAAAAAATAAAATGATACCCTAGAAAAGTAGGGAGAAATTGACCTTTCAAAGTTCTGATGTGAGAAAGAGAGAGGAAAAGAACTCATTGCACTTAAAGACAATCTTGGAGAAGATCAAGTGGGTAAGAACAAGTTCAATTGATCGATGTCCCCTTGATAAAGAATTCACGCTTTAAATTTATGCAAGAGGTTAGCAATAGAGAGTTTGGATTGCTGGATGAGACTAGTTGGGTTGGTATTGTTCGCTAAACTTGCAGGGTGTATGTGAAGCTAACCTTATGTTGTCTATGTTCATAGTGGAATACAGGAAAGGAACCTTTCACAGGATATTCAAAAGAGCAAGGGAGTTCCACGTTTTCAAACCTCTTTCACGGATTTAGATTCTTTTTGCTTGAGGACAAGCAAAGATCTAAGTCTGGGGGAGTTGATATACCTCTATTTTACACTTTTTATACTGTTTTAGCATTGTTTTCTAATGGTTTTTGGCAGGTTTTCTATCTAAAAAGGTAGTTTTACTGTGTTTATAGTGTCTAGAGTCTAAACAGGTGAAATGATGCATTTTGGAGCAAAACCATAGGATTTGCACTTCAAGCCGCTCCATGCACAAGCACCAACTTTAAGAGGGCCCAGAAAAAGATCTACTCAATGGATTTCATCAAGACCAGTTCCCTGCGTGCTCTGATTGAGTTAACTTTCCAACGCAACTGGAACGGCCTAATTTGGATGAGTAGAAAAGGAGTTATAACCAAAAGAGTGAAGACTGTCCAGACGGCTCTATCGAGGAACCTGATATACCTCTATTTTACATGCTTTTTATACTGTTTTAGTATTGTTTTCTAATGGTTTTTGGCAGGTTTTCTATCTAAAAAGGTAGTTTTACTGTGTTTATAGTGTCTAGAGTCTAAACAGGTGAAATGATGCATTTTGGAGCAAAACCATAGGATTTGCACTTCAAGCCGCTCCATGCACAAGCACCAACTTTAAGAGGGCCCAGAAAAAGATCTACTCAATGGATTTCATCAAGACCAGTTCCCTGCGTGCTCTGATTGAGTTAACTTTCCAACGCAACTGGAATGGCTTCATTTGGATGAGTAGAAAAGGAGTTACAACCAAAAGAGTGAAGACTGTCCAGACGGCTCTATCGAGAACAGCGCCCAACCGCGCAGTCCGGCTGGCCGAGGAACGATGTTTCACGCTCGGCCAAATCTCATCCGTCCGTCTGAAGTCTCGGCCAAAGTCCAAAACCGTCGGCCGATCACGCATCACGACCCGGGAAACTAAGCCCGCGGTCGGCCACGCCACAACCGCCACGCCACATGCCGCGCACGACCATGCCGCGCGAGCCGGGAACAAAGCCTCGCGGCCGCGCAACCGCTCGTACCACGGCCGATGCACCGTCCGAGCCGGGAAACACGTCCCGCGTCCGGCCGAGAGATTTCATCGGCCAAGTCTTCATCCGTCCGACCACAGCCGGCCGACCAAATCCGTCCGGCCACGACCGTTCCGACTACGGCCCATGACCCGATCTGTCCGGCCGATCGTCCCGACCGACCGTCCCAACGCCGCGGTCGACCCGAAGCCCGTTTTGAAGCCCGTTTCATATTTTCAAGGCCCGGCTTAACCCTAAGCCGCCTCTAAAAGACCTAGCACTATATATATAGCTTTTTAGCCTCTTGTGAAAAGAGAGCCGCCTTGTATTTCGATTTCCTACTCTAAGTTTTATTGCAATCATGTTTTCTTCATCTCTATGTGTGTTTGCTTTGATCATGTCTGAGTAATCCACTAGTTAGGTTGCTAGGGTTACTATTCAATGAGTTGCTTGCATGATCTTTGATTTCATGATTAGCTAGGGATTATATTAGAGTCTTTGTCTCGTCTTGTGCACTTAACTAATGCTGATTGCTTTACCGCGCATCTAGTAATCCGATCTTAGGTTGATTTGAGCCTCGACAGTGCTGTATCATTCGCCGGACATATTCTTTGACAAGCTAGGTTTCTTAGACTGCGAAAGTTGATCTACTATAATCTAGTGAACTGTATCAGAACCTATTCATTCTAAAGCTTGATTCTATCACCTAGGGACATACCAAAAGTTTAGCGACTAGGTAGATTAACAAAGGAGCCGGAGCCTCGAAAGTGGAATGGTTTTATATTCGTGATCTGTGTTCTAGACGGTTCTTAATATCCCAACATCTGATGCGGAGTCAGGTTTTACCAAACTCCTAGACCTCTGCAAGTGCACAGATCGCGGAAGTATGGGTATGGAACACAAGGACTGGCTATTGAGTACACTTTGTAACTATGGATTTTGGATCAAGCTAAAACAAAAGTATTGGTTTGAGGTTGTAATGGTGAACCGAACTAGCAAGTAAATCGAGGTTGTAAACAATAAAGGAAAAGCGCTAGGTCATAGGGGCTATCGCAGAGAAGCAAGCAATGATCAATGAAACAATGATAGATTAATTGATTAGGGATATTGGGATATTAAGAACCATCTAGAACACAGATCACGAATATAAAACCATTCCACTTTCGAGGCTCCGGCTCAGCTCTGTTTCCTCTTTGAGTTCTCCTTGAAGTCATGTGCTGTCTCATTGGGAAGTCCAAAGAGTTGGCATAGAGCTGAGATGGATATGCGCCCATTGGCATCGCCTATCTTGAAGAGTAGGAGTCCATCACCAGCTGGTTGGTCTCCATTGTGGTTGGGAAAGGCAAGAGCTACTGTGGAGAGGAACTCCTTACTGAGTTGTGAGTACTCACTAAACTCTAGCTTGAAGAGCTTGCTCAAGCCTAGCTTCCTTATGTACCATGTGACATCATCTCTTATCTTGAGAAGATCAAGGGTTTGGGTGTCCATCTTCACACATGGTTCGATGTTCACCTTCTCCATTGCCTTCTTACTCTTTGGGTCTTGATTTTGTTCTCCAAAAAAGGTTACAAGTGCCCAATCATCTTCTTCTCTTCTTGGAATCTCCACATGTTCTTGACTTGCATCAATGGAATGA